ATTAAAATCTGTAGATTATTCACAAATGCCTCCCACTAAAAGATCGCACCAGTAGCCGTTGTCTAGATGGAGTATAGCTGCGAAGCAGATAACTCCTGCACGAACTGAGTTTATCGCCCCTTGTGGACGCTACCCCTTTATCTGCAATTGTGCCCCCTAAACTGCCAAAACAGAGACTCGTTAACTCCGCCACAGCGTTCCATTCGGTTTACTGTCCAGCCTTGTCGTGGTGAGTGGTACCAAATGTTATTACTGCAAGTCATTGCCATGATCAAGACCTGCAACACGGGGCGCGTTCCGGTCCGTAACAATCAGTCCTAACTGTTTTGTATTCGGTTTGATGCTGGACTAGATTTGATTATGTCGCTCTGGGTGTGTCGGGTGCTAGTTAGGGGTCAAATATAGGTGGCGACCACGTAGAGTATTATAGGGTATGTGACACGAACGCCCGTGTTATGTGAGCTGGGATTCACGCCACTGCTTCCATAGGACATTGGTGGCACGCGTAAATGCAGACTCGGGCGCCAGGTACCCAAGCCTTAGTGGCACATCCACTCCATGGGATGTGATTCAGCGCGACTAGCTGGGACGATGCTAGCCATTTGCGTCCGGTATGTTTGACTATCTTGACAACGACTATAAACGGATGAATGGGGAGCGTGCTAGATACGACGCGAGTCTACTACAACTCAAAACCAAAAAGTCCCTGGGTCACAACGCCGTGGAGCACATTGTGGACATCGTCGGAACCGACAGTCGGGCTGTCATTTTATCGACCATTCTCTTCAAGTACGCCATTTGGACGGCCCTAGACGGGTTTGACGGACTTGGCCTGCGGTGCCACAGGTCCCTAAATCAGTCGGTTTATCCGTAAACGCTGGAAAAGTCCGTATATTCGAGTTAAATCCCTTGCAGTTCTCGAGGTTAACAACTGTTATCTTGAATAATGATGGCATAAAACACCCCGGGACTAGGCTGCTGCGAGTCGATGCTGCTCGCAAAGTTTTCTCAAGCCCGTGTTCATGAGCCTTGCTCTAAATCGTCGCCGCCAGAGATTCGCTTGTACCGTGCATCCGTCCAGTCAGTCCATATCTATTGTTGTGAATTATGGCCTGTGTATGTGGAAGATTAACAAAAACTGGAGACCTCTGACGACCACTGCTTGG